TCTTCTCTATACACCACACACACCGCGTACACACACAATAAAACCCCTCCATTCATCCGTCTACCCCCCCCCCCCCCCCCCGCCGCCACCAACATACGCAAGCCCCTTCCCCCCCACCCCCACCCCGCACCCTGCTGTGTGCAGAAGGGTCGACCCTTTTTCACGGCCATACTCTTTTCTCTCTCCCGTGCTGTCACCGGCCTTCTCCCCTCTCTCTCTGTCTCCGTCTCATCCTCTCTCATCTCCCTCCCCCCTCTCTCTCTTCTTCTCGTCGCGCCATTCTCTCTCTCTCTCTCTCTCTCTCTTTCTCCTCTCTCCCCTTTCTCTTTCATTCTCTCTCTCTGCTCTCTCCCTCCCTCCCTCCCTATCTCTTCTCTCTTTCTCTCGTCGCGCATTCTCTCTCTCTCCTCTCCTCTTTCTCTTCTCTCTCTCTCTCCTCTCTCTCTCTCTCTCTCTCTCTCTCTCGCCTCTCTCCCTCTCTCTCTTTCTTCTCGTCCGCGCATTCTCTCTCTCTCTCTCTTTCTCTTTCTTCTCGTCCCGCATTCATTCTCTCTCTCTCTCTCTCTCTCTCTCTCTTCTCTCTCTCGCCCTCCCTCCTCTCTATCTCTCTCTCCTCTCTTCTCTCTCTCTCTCTCTCTCTCTCTCTCTCGCCTCTCTCCTCTCTCTCTCTTTCTTCTCGTCCGCGCATTCTTCTCTCTCCCCTCTTTCCACATGCACGAGACACGTCGAAAGGGGAATATCTCAGTCCCCTCTTCTCCTTCCTCTCCGCTGTATTTTTCCTATTCACTGGTAACATATGGAATTGAAATGAATATTGATCATGCTGTGGGATTCCTTTTTTTTCATTTCCAGGAATTCCTTCTCGGTGTTTTTATTTCTTTATTTCTTTTTCTCGTATTTTCCTCGTAATCTCCATTGGATTTGTTTCTTTGCTGTGGCTTATACGTATCTATGTAAATGAGTGATTTTATATAAATTGTTATATATATATATATATATATATATATATATATATATATTATATATATATATATATATAATATATATTATTATATAGATAAACATGTAGATATACATACATGTGTATGTATAAATATATGTTTACAAGTAGATGTATTCGTGCATACATATGTGTGTATGTTGTTACCGACACACATACCCATACAACCCCTAACCATACACATATATCCAAAATAAAACAACCAAAAAAAAAACCCCCTTCAACCCCCCACCCCCAAAAAAGTGAAAAGAAAAAAGTCAACACCCCTCCTCACCCCCCCCCCAAAAAAAAAAATAATAATAATAAATAAATAAATAAACTAATTATTTAATTAATTAATTTTAAAAAATCAGGAACCGGCACATTCTGAAACACCGAAGAGGATGAGGGCGTCGAGTCCCATACATCACGCCCTTGTATCATCCTGACCTCGATCCGTCTTGACCCTGTTCGAGGTGGGTGACCCTGACAGGGGATTCTTATGATATATTCTCAGAAGGAAGGGCTGTGGGGCGGGGGGGGGGGGGGATGGAGGAGGAAGGAAAGAGAAATAGGGGGGAGGGGAAGAAGAGATAGGGGAGAAAGAATGAATGGGGGAGGGGGAGAGAGAAGAAAGAGAAAGGGGGAGGGAGAAAGGAGAAGGAAAAAATGGGAGAGGGAGAGAGAGAAGGAAAAGAAAGGGTGAGGGTGAAAGGAGAAAGGGAAAGGGGAGAGAGAGAGGGGAGGAAGGAGGAGAGAGACAGAGAGAGATACAGCCAAGTCTTTCTATCTTTCTGTCTATCCTTTTGTCTTCCACTCTCCCTCTCCCTCCCTTACCCTCACCCCCCCACTCTCACTCTCTCTTTCTCTCCATCTATCTATCTCTCTATATATATATAATGAAGACAAACAGACAGACAGACATATAAAGGAAGAAAAACACATTCCTCGCATAATTACATCATGTACAAACCTCACACCACCTCCATCACCCAGAAATAAAACAAACTTCCTCTGTCCCTACAACCTGACAACCCAATTACCTAACAACCCATCACCTCAAACAACAACCCGAAAACTTAACAACCCAACAGCTTAATAACCCATCAACTCAAACAACCCGAAAACTCAAACCCATCAAACTCAACCCGACAACCCAAACAACCCGACATCCTAAAAGCCCATTAACTCGACTCTACAACCCGAAAAACCGAAAACTCAACAACCCAACAGCCTAATAACCCATCACCTCAAACCCGAAAACCTGAAAACTCAACAACCCATCAACTCAAGCCAACAACCCGAAAATTCAACAACCCGACAACCCAAACAACCCGAAAACTCAACAACCCGAAAGCTCAACAACCCATCAACTCAACCCAACAGCCTAACAACCCAAAACAACCCAACAGCCAACCACAACCCACCAAACAACCCAAAACAACCGAATGCTCAACAACCCAACCACCTAACAACCCATCACCTCAAACGCAACAACCTAACAACACCACCAACACAAACCCAACACCCAAAACAACCCAACAGCCTAACAACCCACCAACACAAACCCCAAACAACCCCAAACAACCCAACAAAACAACCACGAACCCCAAACAACCCGAACTCCCCCATCATTCAACCAGCCAATTGACCGAGGGACCGAGGACTCGCAAAGCCCTTTATGTATCATCTAAATACAAGTGCAAACAAGGCCGTTCATCAAGCCATTAATTCTCTCTGCCAAGTATATTGCATGCGAACAATGAACGGCTCTCGCGGCCACGTTCTGCTGCCAGGTGTGGACACGGGGAAGTGGTATAAATTATGTATAAAGGTAAGTGTGCGTGTGTTATTGGTTGTCTGTTGAGGGGGGAGGGGAAGGGAGAGGGAAGGGGGAGAGGGAGGGAGGGAGAGGGAGTGGGAAAATGGAGAGGGAGGGGGAGAGGGAAGAGGGGGGATGAGGAGAGAGAGAAGACATGGAGGGAGGGAGGAGAAAGAGAGAGAGGAGAGGGAAGAGAGAGAGAAGAGAGAGAGTGGAGAAGGAGAGAGAGATTGAGAAGGAGAGGGAGATAGAGAAGACCATGGAGGAGGAGAAAGAGTGAGAGGAGAGGGAAAGGCAGAGGGAGAGGGAGAGAATTTAGGGAGAGGGAGAGGGAGAGAGAGAGAGAGATTAAGAAGGAGAGGAGAGAGAGAGAGAGAGAAGAGAGAGAGAGAGAGAGAGAGAGAGAGAGAGAGAGAGAGAGAGAGAGAGAGAGAGAGAGAGAGAGAGAGAAGAGAGAAGAGAAAAAACAAAAAAAAAAAAAAAAAAAAGATGAGAGAAAAAAGAAAAAGAAAAAAAAAATATAAACCAGAAATTACATACCACCGTAAACACCTGAATACCAATGCCACGTACACGCCCACAGTCACAAGAATGAGAAGCCAGCTTGTAGCCTGCGAATCACGCCCACCCTTCTGATCTCCACTCGGGCCTCAAGCCACGCCCGCGAAACCAAGGAATGATTATTTTTGTTACCATTTCGCTTCCTAAACTTTGCTCCCAAAAGTTATCCTTCGCAGTGTGTCGGCGGCGGGGGGGGGGGGGGGGTGTTGATGGGGAGGTGGACGGGGTTGTTGATGGAAGGGGAGGAGGAGGGGAGGTGCTGAGGGAGAGGGGAGAAGAGGGAGAGAAAAGAGAGAGAGTGAGAGTGAAAGAAGGAGGGAGAAAGGATAGGAGAGTATAGGGATAATGGAGGGGAAAAAGCGATGAAAGAAGGAAGAAAGGAGGAAATAAAAGGAGGAAGGAAAGGTAGTAGGGATGATTATGGAGAAGAGAGATGTAAGAAAGAAAGGAGAGAGAGAGAGGGAGGGAAGGAGACGGAGAGATCGTATGAATAGCATAAGAGAGGGAAGGAAGAGGGAGGGAGGAAGGGGGGAAATAGGGAGGAGGGAGAGAGGAAGATAGGAAGGAGGGAGGAAGTAGGGAGGAAGGGGGGAGGGTGTAAGGAAGAAGGGAAAGAGGGAGGAATGAGGAAGGAAGGAGGGATATAGGAAGGGAGAAAGGAAGGAAGGAGGGAGGAGAGAGAAAGGAAATATGTAGGGAAGGAGGAGGAAAGGAGGGAGAGATGGAAAGAAAGAGGGGAGGAGGAGACGTAGGGAGGGAGGAAGGGAAGGAGGGAGAGCGAGAAGAGGCGAGGGAGGAAGGAAGGAAGGGAAGGAGGGAGAGCGAGAAGGGAGGGAGGAAGGAAGGGAAGGAGGGAGAGCGAGAAGGGAGGGAGGGAGGAGGAAGAAGGGAAGGAGGAAAGGAGAAGGAGGGAGGGAAGGAGGAAGGAGGGAGCGAAGGAGGGAGGAAGGAAGGGAAGGAGGGAGAGCGAGAAGAGGGAGGGGAAGGAAGGGAAGGAGGGAGGAAGGAAGGAGGGAGGAAGAAGGGAAGCGGAAGGAGGGAGAGCGAGAAGGTAGGAAGGAAGGAAAGGAGGGAGAGCGAGAAGGGAGGAGGAGGGGAAGGAAGGGAGGAGGAGGAGGAAGGAGGGAGGGAGGAGGGAGGAAGGAAGGGAAGGAGGGAGAGCGAGAAGGGAGGGAGAGAGAAAAGGAGAGAAGTAGGAAGGAGGGAAGGAGTAGAGCGAGGAGGGAGGGAGGGAAGGAAGGGAAGGAGGGAGAGTGAGAAAGGGAGGAGGAAGAAGGGAAGGAGCGGAGAGCGAGAAGGAGGGAGGAAGGAAGGGAAGGAGGGAGAGCGAGAAGAGAGAGAGGGGGGAGAAGGAAGGGAAGGAGGAGAGCGAGAAGGGAGGAAGGAAGGAAGGAAGGGAAGGAGGAGAGCGAAAGGAGGAGGAAGAAGGAAGGAGGGAGAGCGAGAAGGGAGAGCGAGAAGGGAGGAAGAGGGTAGAGCGAGAAGGGAAGGAGGAGAACGAGAAGAGGGAGGAAGGGAGGGAGGAGAAGGAAGGAGAGAACCGAGAAGGAGGGAGGGAAGGAGAGGAGAGCGACGGAGAGCGAGCAGGGAATATTTTGCTTAATTAGAAGTGCCAGCGAAGTAATCCATCTCCCGCGGTATCCCTGGCTAACAAGGCCGGCTTATCCCGCGCCCCAAAGCCGCTTCTGGGAGGGGGGGGGGGTCTGTCGGGATCAGCTCGTCTGTCTGTGCACGCTTGGGAGGATCCAGTCTCGCGTTGGAGTCTATCTGTTTATCTAAACCCTTTGCACTTACTCACAAACGCATCTGCACGTGCGAATGAACAGATAGAGGGAGACGTAATACACACAGACACACTCACACTCACGCACACGCACAAACACGCACACGCACACGCATACGCACATTCACACTCACACACACACAAACACGCACATTCACACTCACACACACACAAACACGCACATTCACACTCACACACACACACAAACACGCACATTCACACTCACACACACACCAAACACGCACATTCACACTCACACACACACAAACACGCACATTCACACTTCACACACATCGCACATTCACACTCACACGCACACGCACACGCACACGCACACGCACACACACACACACACAACCATACACCCGCACACACACACACTACACGCATACGCACACAACACACACACACACACACGTGTCATGGATATACCATAGTTCATTGTGTTCATTCTTATCTAAGTCCATCTTTAAACTTTTTTGTTATTATCATTTACTTCCTTTGCTCCAACAAGTAAGCACTATTAATTACCATATTTTTATACTTATTTTTAATAATGTTTATGACTCACGCCTATTGGTGTTGAAAGTGATAATAATCTATGTTATATAAATAAATCTTATTAAGAAAGTTCATCTTAAGATTTTGATCATTAAAAAGAAATTAATTTTGGTGGATTTCCCGAAAACTGCTTTGTAGTTGCCCGACATCGTGGCAGGTGGGGTGTCGTGTGCAAATTCCTTTTTGTTTTAAACCGAAATTTCCCGCCATGGAGCCGCCGTCTGCTTTTAGTAAGTTCCTGTAAGATTGTTCAGATTCATGACCCGGTGCGTAAATATCGCTAAAGGTTGTTCAGCGTGTATGAATTGTATTTAAAAGGTTTAAAAAGAAATGGCAACAGGTCCGTGTGGTTCTGTGTTGACGGTTGCTAGGTTAGGAATCATTATTGTTTATTTTGAGTCGTATTATTTAATTGTAATTTCCGCGTGTGTCTTATCTGTGATGAATGACTGCATCTCAGCGTCTTCATTTAATATTCAACTTGCAAGGGTATTGTTACGATATTGCTTTGCATTTAACAATTATCTCGGCATTATTTTATTACTGGTGATGGATACTAATGTTCTCTTTTCCAAATGCTTTTCTCTGCCTTTTGTAAAGCTAATACTTTTTCCTAAATAATCAACTTGTTTTTTTTGTTTAGTTATTCTCTCATTGACCTCATGACCTGCTTTGTTTTCTAATGTTGAGGAATGATTTGGTTGCACCGCCCCATCTAAATTTTTTAAACATAAACTAAAAATCGCTAGATTGTGCGTGCGTGGTGTTGTGTATATATGTATGTGTGTGTGTGTGTGTGGTGTGTGTGTGTGTGTGTGTGTGTGTGTGTGTGTGTGTGTGTGTGTGTGTGTGTGTGTGTGTGTAAACAGCGAGAGCATTTTCCTTCTCTGCCTCTTCAACACGTATTCCTTCAACTAGTCCTCTTCCTTGACATAATATTCTCTATTTACGTAATCTAGCGAGTAATGGAGGTTATGTATGATAGAGAAAAATTAATAACTGCGCAGACACGATTAATTAAATCCCCCATTCATGGATAATCCATCAAAGATTTTTTTTGACCAGTCACAGAAACGTGGTCATCCTCGCCAGCTGATTTTTTTTTTTTTGGAGGGGGGGGGGGGAGGCAGTCACGTGGTTATCCTCACCAGCTGAGAAATTCAAGATGGCGCTGGACCCTCCCCCCCTCCCCCCGCCACCAACCCCCACACAAGAAAATCAGGTTATTTGCCTGCCTAAACCGCTCGTTCCCGCTCTCTTGACTTCCCAAATTACGAATAACGAGTGAAAACGACATCGCTGCTTAATCAAACAGTTTATTCAACATTACTGCAAAGCTGGTTAATTCCCCGTTCGCAATCCCTGCAATCCCTTGAGCACTGGGGTTGCGGCGAGCGATAGAAGGGACCCGGTTGCCGCTTGCGATGACACGTAAGCCTCTCATGATCCAATACTTTTCGCTACTTTTCAATAATTATGGGACGGAAAAAGCGCGGTTGACAACGATGCTAAGGTTGCCGGCTCTGATACTGGATAGAAGGAAATGGAAATGACGTTAATTAAAAAATAAAAAACAAAGATATGGGAAAGGGGGAAAATATAATTATAATAGTGATGACATTTACTATTATCGAAGAGAAAAATTCATAGAAATTATTCAGCAGAAGTAATGGCACGTACATATACATGTATACCCACTGAAGTGTGCATGTGTGTGTGTGTATATATATATATATATATATATAATATATATATATATATATATATATATATATATATATATATATATATATATATATAATAATATATATATCGAGAAAGAGAGAGAGAAACAGAAAAAGAGGAAGAACAAGAGAGCGAGAGAACTAGATTACCAACAGTTTATCGCATCGTACGCTAAAACTCTAATCTTTCAAAGAACTAAGAACCAATATTCATTTGCATAGAATCCAAAGCTTTCTGCAATCGACACTTACGAGATAAAGTGATTCATTGTATTCTGTC